AACTGACACATTAATTCTTTCCAATTCCTTTCTTGCTAGAATCCATATTGATAATACTGGACCAAAGGATAAGATACAGCTATCAATTACTCTAGAGAGAGATGGAGATATTATTTTAACCTTTGTTCTTTTGATCTCTTGTAATATAAATTGGAATATGGCTGTTTCCATAAGGCATTCTTTAAAAAAGAAATGCAAACATGCGATTTCAAATTTTATTTGCAGAAGTTTTATTAGAAGACAGTATAACTTCTTCATTTGATTCATCCCCAAGCTAAGTGACTTACATCTGTATCACAGCAAGGAGGAGTTATTGCTTATTGCAACTTAGAAGTTGGGTTTTTTTTTAATGTCATCCTGAACATTCTTCTTTTCTGTAAGTATATACCATATCTTACTCCTTGATCATTTGAAACAGGTAAACTATGAACTTGATTTGATTTGCTATATTTTTAGAAAATAATAGGGAAGGGAGCAAGTGACAGTTAAAATTTCTGTACTCCTCCCCCTAGAACCATAAAAGCTAGAGAAGGAATTCAGGCAGCCAGAAGCCACATATTGTCAAAGGGCACCTTAAAGTCATCAGCTACATTCCCAGGCAGGCAGTGCGGACAGGCTTCAGATGTTTTTATGAAGCTGCATCACAAGGTAGCATCAAAAATCGGCGCTACTGGGATTCGTTACAATACCTGTGCGTTGCCGCGTATTTCTGGTTTCAGTTTCAGCTGATTAAAAAAAAAAATAAAGCAAGGTGTCTGAATCTTATTATAGGTAATTTTTTTTGACACCTTAAGGCCAAGATCTGGTGGTTATCAAAAATGTGTAGCAGTGATATCTCCAGTGTTTTGACTAAATCCAAATATACATTATTTTTTTAATTCCCTTAAATGATGTAGCTCCCCACTTCAAAAGTCTTTGATTAGGACAACAGTCCAGGTAAGCAGAATGACTCAGAAAATATTTGGACTTTCTTCTGCTGATATTGACTGCTGTATTTCAGTAATTAATGAGGTGGTTTCTTAGACAGGTTTGAATTATTTGGAGGAAATAAGAGGTACGTTTCTTAAAAAGTGAAGGAAGAGTGTATAGGGCAACGTAGGGTTAAGCAAACCCGTGTTCTCATCTCAGTCTTCTACCAGTGACTTGGTGCTTCTCCTTTAGGAAACCTTTTGGAACTAATAACTCTTGGTTCACTCCTGTGTCCTGAACTGCACAAAGAGACATCAATCCCCAAGGGTACAGTTCTCCAATATTCCTTGTTTTTTCACTCAGAAGGTAAATCACAAGGTTAAACTGCTGCATCATTTTTTGCCAATGCAACATCCCTCTTCCCAGCCAGGCACAGCCACTGACAGGCAGCTGGAGCAGAGCCACAATGCGGTCTGTTCCACCGACCAGTCCTGGACACACCATACCTACTGTGCGCATATGTTGATCAGATGTCTTGCACATGCTCAGCAAATCCCACATGCTCTCGATGCCTCAGCCATATCATGTGTGTGCGAATCAGCCATGCAGCACATGGGTGACAGAGCACACGCAGAAATCCCAAGCAGAAATCTAGCCTACCTCGCTGGGAGAGAGAAAAAAATAGTCTTATTTCTCTCTGTGTCCCTGAAAGCTGATTAAGGTGTGTGAATTCTTTCTCTGTTATCTTCTTTTGACCAATGTAACTATCTACAAAGCACTTCACAGTGGACTTCTACGGGACTTCACAGTGGACGTATCTTCAATTCAAAGCTGGTATGTGGACCAAACATAAATTAAAATGAATGCTTGAGCTTGTTAACACATAAACAGTAAGCCCATGGTACTACAGAGTACTAGAAAGGTAAGTCCAGGAGGTTTTTCTCTCTGTTTTAAGTATTCAAATAAAGATACAGATGCACATCTTTTCACAGAAACTTATTCTGTCCAACTGTGCCTGTATCTCACACCAGAAAAAGTAATTTGCCTTTTAGAAATAATGATTTTAATGTTATTAGCCTTTCAGGAAGTTTTAGAAGCACACACACAAAAAAAAACCTGGAAGAGAAAGAAGACTAAACCAAAGAGCCTTGAAAAACCCCAGACAACTAGTACTACTAGACTGTTGAGCTCCATGATTTCACAAGGGCTTTGCATGAAGGAGAACCACAGTGGCTCTTACCAGCACCTAGCTTTTTAGAGCTGGAAGTGGGACATCTGACCCTTTTCTCTGGTTATCTGTGTGCGCTACAGGAAAACACTACACGTTGTTCAACTCTTCAGACAGTATATGTGACTATGTCGTTGTCAGCCCTTTGAACTGAAAGGTGTACATCTGAAATAGGCCCATGTTGCTGCTCAGAGGCTCGTGTGCAATCAGAGATGGTTCTCGGTCTGGTTCACTGAGATGGTGATGCCGGTCAGAGCCCCTTTCTCCACAAAGGCAGATGATGACACTGCTGTTGCCGACGGCAGGGCTGCACGGGGGCTGCAAGGACTGATTGAGTCCCTCACACACCCTGGCAGGGTGGCAGGTTGGAAAGATAAAATTTATACCTCTACTGCCCATCTCTGATAATAGGCAGGGGTCGAAAGTTTGAAGAGACCTGCTCTCTGTGGTCCTTCCTCAACACTGGCCTTGTTCAAGTGCTGCCAGCCAGGACAGAGAAGGTAAAAGGAAATGACAAATCTTCCTGTTCTCTTTTATAATTATTTTCCATCCCCTCTGTCTCTATTTACAGCTTGTAATGTACTGCATTGTGAAGATGTTCCTCACTCTTTTTTTCTAAAAGTGGGAGTAAACTTTTAGCTAGACGTCAGCTAGACGTAAAACTGAGGTAAGGTGTAAGGCAGGCACACCAACTCTAACTCTAACTCTACAACAATTCAAGGCTGGTTTATATTTTGAACTGTCACTATACAGTTTACAAGGGGAAAAGCACGAGTAAAGATTGAGATTTTCCTTCTATAAATTGTGGAAGGGTGAGGGGGAAGTGACAGATCTCACTTAAAAACCCTATTGAAGTAGCCGTGTTGAATGATGATGCCATTGCTTGTCTCTGTGTTTCATTGTCATAATGTAAGCCCTTTTATAATTAGAAGAAACCACAGAAGTCAGAGCAAAGTACAACAGATCCAGAAAGAGCTGGAAACTTAAGGAAGAAATAAAAAAAAAACAAACAACAATAGACATGGGCTGGAGAAGATATTTTATTTATTTGTTACTAGTAGTTAAAATGACGTACAAAATGCTGGGAAGAAAAAACTCCAATTCTATTCAGTTGCAAAATAATTAAAACTTCATTTTAAACCAAGTTTTGCTTTGTGAGACCGAGCATGAAAATACTGCAGCCTTAGGTTATATAGTCCATTGTTTTTAGAATAAAGCAGACATTTAAATACATATTGTGGTTGATATTAAATATCTCGTATAATTGTAAGTTAGCAGAACTTTCTTACTCTCAGGCAATAACTAGCAATTCATAAAAGTTCTTTGTATAAAATTTACATATGGGGGGATCTGCCTCAAGGGGAGTTCCATCATGATCTATGTACAGGCTGGTTTTGGAACATAAAGATTTGTAAAACTTTTATCGATTTTCCTTCAGAATACTAGCCTAATCTTAAATAAAGAAGTCAGTAATGTCTGAAGCTTTGCTTAATGGCCAGGGGCTTAGGGACATAGCAGTCACTGAAAAAGACAATGGGAGTTTTGCGGTCAACTTCACATGAAGAAAAAATTCATTCTAAAGGTGTTCCCATTTCTTGAATGGAAACTCTAGCTAGCACAAAATTTTTCAGCAACGACTGAGATTGGCCCTTTCCCCTGCAAATCAACTCAGAAAAGTAATTTAAAGGAAATTGCCTATTATCAGTGAAAGAGGATTTGTATTAATAATAACATTAAATATCCATATCTCTCTGTTTAACTATTCACATTCCACACAGTGGAAATCTACCTTCTGTAATTCCAGATTTTAAAATTGGATTTTAAAATCCATGAAGAAATGTGTCAAACCTGCTGAGTGAGAGTACACCAGATGAAATGCAATTTAATAATACCAATCAACGAGTTGCAATCTCTTAATCTTAGAAATGCAGACCTCACAGCAGTGGATTTTACAGTAAAAATATATTAATTGCAGAGATGCAGAATATTGCAAATAACTGTGTGACGCATTGTGTAACAGCTGGGGCATCTAATACAATGAGGGCACACTGGATGCGTCTGCAACACGCTGCTCACTGTATATTTTTCCCTCTGGACATGTCAGTAAGAGCAAAATGGTCTTCCTCAGCATTCAATGGATAGAAATGTCATCAAGATAATCACCTTGTACTGAGAGAGGTCTCTGACCTGAGAGAGACCGGTTATACTGGTAGTGGATACTAAAGAGTATTGATGCTGAATGGGGAAACTGAGTCCCAGACTATCCAAGCCCCATCCTATAGGTAACTTGGACCTAACCTCCATTTCACCCACATTGGTGATGTCCGTGTTGCTTTCAGGCCCTGGCACAGGAGCACATCTTTCCTTCTGTACCCCACCAGCAAGGACTGGCTGTCGGGACCCCGCTGGCATGGGCAGGAAGGCGTACTGCACTCCGTCAGCTCTTCAGCACCTTTGCAAAGCCAGCAGCTGGGCCAGCACGAGTCGTTTTTACACCACATGGTATGAGATGTCGACAGTGAGACAACCCCCAGCCTTCCCATGCGACCCCAGGAAAGCGAGGGCAATGCGCGTGGAAGGGCTGCCTCTTGGGTCCGACGGCACAGGGTCCACCTAACTAAAATGTCTTTTTCAGGACCTTCTGCACTCTTGCCGCATCCCACTGCCCTGATCAACTTTAAGCTCCTAATCCTGAAAAGGGGAAGGGGAAGGGGAAGGGGAAGGGGAAGGGGAAGGGGAAGGGGAAGGCAGGACAACCTCACAGGTGAGATTCCTCAAGCAGTTGGAAGTAGCGTGTCCCCTTTTATGTTTTTTCCCCCCAAATGAGAGGTGCAGTTAGCCCTTAATTTTCAGGAAATTCTCTTTACTTAGTCCAAATTCGGTTTAAATGCGAGTCTGTGGTAAAAGATATAAAAAGAGGATTATTGCTGGCAAAGTTCTGCATCTCTTTTTCAACAAACTGCGTGCCTGTGGCAAAGCTAAAATAACAATAACAATGCAATGTTTACTAGTCATGAATGTCGTGTCTTTTGTCTCTCGTGTGGTTATTACATTTGCAGTCACATGATGCTTGCTTTAATTTTTGCTTTGCTCTTTATGTCCTAAATTACTGCCATTCTGTACTTGATCTTGGTTAGCAAGATTTTTGTGCTGTGGTTATGTATGTTTTTTATGAATGTGTGTGAAAAGAGGAGAGAGTTCGGATACAGAGAATGGAGTATGCGTACTCATTGTGTGTATGTATAGAGTCCAATGACTAAAAGATACTGCATATATATATATATGTAGATATGAAGAATAACTGATATCAGAAATACAAGACATCAATTGGATCTAGTGGCACGAGAGTGGATTTTGATTGAGTTAGAGAGCCATTAGAATTCAGAAGTATATTTATAGTCTTGTATATAGTTTCTCTTTAATTTATGTAATATATGACTAGGTATATAAATTAAAGCAAAATGTAAACAGAAGACAATATCTCTTCCTCTGTGTCTTCCTACTGATGTAGCTTTCCTTTTTCTACTCCCTTTTGTACTCCCCCTGTCTACTTACTTTGGCCTTTTGCTTCCTAACTTGCTGCAGCTCTGTTTTCTATCCACCTATACTGACTTTTCAACACTCGCACGTCCCCCCATTTCTCTCCAGACATGGCTTTTGGATTGTAGTTATTTTTTTGAAGAAGCATGTTACAAACTCTTGATACAGCTGCTATTTTCAGTGATGGTTTTGCTATGCTTTAACTGCTTTTTGCCTACTTCGTATCTAAGAATAGACTAATGCTTTAAAATATATTGTCCTTTCACTTTGATGTTTCTCTTAACGCAGTAAAAGCAAATAGCATGGTAGGTGAACATTAGCAAAAGCCACAGCTTCACTTTCCTAGCGAGTGGCAAAAATATGAATATACACTAGGAAACCTAATTCATGACTGCAGGTAAATACATATTTTAATATTTCATACCCCTGTTAAACTTTTTGTCATAGTGAACATTCATATATCTGCTTGTACACATCCATTTTCTCCATTACACACAAAAATACACGTGTGCCCTTCCCTTACATCGATTTTTTCTTTGGTTTTGGGGGTTTTTTGCTTGTTTTAGGTAATTCACTAGGTTCCTTTCAGTTTTGTTCAGCCCCAAAGGTATGCTAGTTCATGCCACTCACTCTCATGCTGGCAATGATTGCGTACAGTCAGAGTGCAATCGGTACAATATTTGTCTCAGCTTAGTCCAAGTCAATAGATATACACCGGCATTC